CAGCGTCCGGCCCCGCCTCGACAACCGGCGGGGCGGCCACGGGGCGGTCCTGGGGGCGGGGGTCGCGGAGGGGCCGCACTCACGGTGCCGCTGAAGGTCCCGAAGGGCGATGGAGGAGCCGGGCCGGGCCGGGGTCGAGCCCCGGTAAAGCTGCAGAGCTTCCAGGAGTTCCGATTCCAGCGCGAATTCCGCGTCCCATTCGTAGTTTTCGTCTACCGAGGTGTTTCTTCTGTGGGGAGGGGGTGAGGGGGGTGGGCAGAGGGTGTGAGACACCCGGGATTGGGGTGAGACCCTCGGAAATGGGAGTGAGACCATCAAAAATGGGTGAGAGACCCCCGGAATGGGGGTGAGACCCTCAAAAATGGGAGTGAGACACCCGGGATGGGAATGAGACCCTCAGAAAAGGGAGTGAGACCCCCGGGATGAGAGTGAGACCCTCGGGAATGGGTGTGAGACCCCCGAGAATGGGAGTGAGACCCTCGGGAATGGGTGTGAGACCCCCGGGAATGGGAGTGAGACCCCCAGGATGAGAGTGAGACCCTCGGGATGGGTGTGAGACCCTCAAAAATGGGAGTGAGACCCTCGGAAATGGGTGAGAGACCCCCGGGATGGGTGTGAGACCCTCGGGATGGGTGAGGGACCCTCAAAAATGGGAGTGAGACCCCAAGGAGAGACCCCAGTCCCAAATCCCCGGGGATGGGCAGCGCCCAGAGAGGGAGAGGAGACAGCAGGGAGAGGGCAGGGATGGGGGGACAGCTGGGGACAGGGACAGCGGGGAGGGTCCCCAGGGTGCCACAGTGCCATCCCAGTCCCATCCCAGTCCTGGGGACAGGGACAGCAAGGGAGTGTCCCCAGGGTGCCACAGGGCTGGCACACAGCAATGCAGCTCCGTGTCACCCCAATCCCATCCCATCCCATTGATCCCATCCCAAATTCCACCCATAAACCCCATAAATCCCATCCCATCCCAGTCCCCTCCCATCCTATCCCAGCCCCGTCCCAGTACCACTCTTATTGCAGTCCATCCCAGTCCCAAGTCAGTCCCTCCCATCCCACTGATCCCATCCCAAATTCCACCCATAAAGCCCATCAATCCCATAAATCCAAAACCCATCCCATCCCATCCCCATTCCCATCCTCTCCCAGTCCCTCCCATCCCAAATTCCA